GTTGTAATCTTTTTTCCCTATCCTTTTTTGTTCTTATTTACTTCACTTAGATCATTGAATATTTCCTTTGAGGAGCAATTGGATCGGATCTACCTTTTTAATCTTATATTATGTGTGTGCATTAAGTTTTTCGTACGTTAGTTAATCATAGATAGCAGAAATTGTGTGGTCATGTAAGGTTAGTTTCATTGGTAAGTGGTTAAAGATTTAACTATCGTCATGTGTTGGGAGACGTTAACTCCCTCGTTCACGTGGTGACTTTATTGACTGTACTTTTAAAGCCCGTGATGTGAATAATAACCCTTTCTTCCCATACTAAACTGGGTACTGGTTTGTCTTCTTCTCTTTCTCAGAAAATTACATGAATAATTACTGACTTGTCCCAAGTCTAAACCACAGATTTAAACTCCGCACCAAATGTAAAACACACAGTACAGAGAGACAATCACAAAAAGATAACACAATAAACCACACATCAAACGCCACGTAGCAGATAATGTTCAAAAACACACACACACACATCTCTTTATATTCCTCTCTTCCTCGCACTTTCTACGCCATTTTCACAAAGCCACACAGTAATCAGTATCATCTCTCAACAATGGCTTCCACTGCTCTCTCAAGCGCAATCGTAAGCACCTCTTTCCTCCGCCGTCAACAAACTCCGACCAGCCTTAGATCTCTCCCTGTCGCCAACACACAATCCCTCTTCGGCCTCAAATCCTCCACCGCACGCGGCGGTCGCGTCACCGCCATGGCTAGCTACAAGGTCAAATTCATCACACCAGAAGGAGAACAAGAAATCGAGTGCGAAGAAGACGTCTACGTCCTCGACGCAGCGGAGGAAGCCGGTGTCGACTTGCCTTACTCATGCCGTTCCGGATCTTGCTCAAGCTGCGCCGGTAAAGTCGTCGCTGGCTCCGTTGACCAGTCCGACCAAAGCTTCTTGGACGACGACCAGATGGCCGAAGGGTATGTCCTAACCTGTGTGGCTTACCCAACTTCTGATGTAGTCATTGAAACCCACAAAGAAGAAGCCATTATTTAAGCTTATTTGATGTATTAAGTCATCTCTCTTGTTACTTCGCTAATTGATCACAAATTTCAATAATTTACATTAATTTTCCACGCATCATTATAATGTGATCAAGGCAAAAAAAAAAAGATGAAGAAGTTGTGAGGTTGTATATTATTTTGATTCTACACAAGATAAAATGTGAATCTAATAGTCTAAGCCCAAATGGCTAGAGCAGACATAAGTCCAGCACCAAGGAACAACATTACATAAGACACAACTTGAAGTCTCACATTACAACTCATCCTCTTGCTTAGAAAATCAGCTGCGATTAGGTCCACTAGAGCCATGTACACTAGAATCCCAGCCGAGAGCGAGTCGAGTATTCCCTCGGTTACCAAAGCTCCCGGGGTATGCGAGTTGAAAGATGAGGCTACTGCGGTTCCAATCCCGATTCCTATCGGTGTGGTTAGTGCGAAGAAGCAAGCCATTATGATTGCTGATTTGTTTCTGAATTGTGCTTGAGAGATGCAGCCTCCGAGCGCGAATCCTTCGAAGAATTGGTGAAATGATAGAGCTGCGATTAGAGGCCTGATCGTGCATGGAGACTGCGATACCCCGAGTGATAAACCAATGATGATAGAGTGCGACACAATCCCCAGCTCCAATATCTGCAACATCAAATAAATAGGTGAGATCAATCAATAAGATGATGTAAAGATCACACATTGGAAAGGAGATACAAGCTGCTTTTAGAGGTTGAGTTGTATCCACTGAGTTTCTTAAGTGTTTATAGGTTCATCCTTAACATAAACATGAGTTAAGAGATTTAAACCTGAGAAACAACAACATGCCTAGCACCATTTTCGACATCTGAATTG